AATTTGCTTGAAATGCCCGAATTGCTTGGAATGCTTGAATGAAATGAAATTTCTTGGTATGTGAATTGGTATCACACCTTGTGAATTTTGTCAAATGCTTGATAGATGAGTTTGCTTGCACTTTGAGAAAATTATGCTTCCGGCACATCCGTTTGTGTATGAGTACCTTTCCGGCGTCTGATTTTGGCTAACATATTCCCTTGTTTCATTTTCAGGCTTGATTGAGAGGTTCCAAAGCATGAGGAATGCCATCTTCTTACTGATTTGCTGGGATCTTGATAGAATAAAGGTGAGTTTTTCATCTTGACTTGCAATATGAAGGTTTATGAAAGATTCGAATTGCTTGATCGGAGGGACTTTGGGTAAGAAAGAGAACAAGCTAGTTCTTGAGGCCATTTTGAGTTTTCTTCCAAAGATGTGATGAGTTTGTTGAACTGTTGCTGTGGGATAAATTTTACTAGCATGATGTTTGAAACAGGGGCTAAGAAGATTTGAAATAAGGCAAGCGCCAAAAATTCTTTGCTTGTAGAGTAGGAGTTGGAAGAATGTAACTTGGCTTGTTTCCAAAAAGGGGAAATAGAAAACTGTTTCTCACCATAATGCAAGATTATCTAGGCTTGTTGTAATCAAAGAGATTATTTATACTGTGTGGCAAAAAAGGTAGATGGGTTTGCTTGTTTGGATGACACGGTGTCCTTCCTTGAATTTGCTTGGCATGAAGCCCTCAAGTTAGCTTGTTGAGGTCAGCAATTGGTTGATGAGTTGGGTTAAATTCTCTTTGGCTTACTCAGGGTCGAGAAACAAAGTAGAGGCCTGCTTGTAATTTTGTTTTTTTGTTTTTTTGTTTTTGCAACTTGCTTCAAAGAAGATTTTTGGAAGAAGTAGACTGAAGATGAGAAGGAAAAGGCTAAGCGAGTTGCTAGAAGAGATTCATACAGCTTGTTTTCCTCCAGATAAGTAACAAACAGTTTGCTTTCCTCCAAAAGGAAAATTGAAATTTACAACAGCTTCAGGATTCTTGTCTCTCTCTTTTGCTTGACATGAAGCCCCCAAGTCATTTGGAGTTTGCATGTGCTGTTTGCTATGATGGATTCTCTTAAGCCTCATAAGCCCTTAAAAGCTTTGAGAAAAGCACCATTGGTTTCTTTTTCTTTTTTTATTATTAAGCTTAGAATTTGGTCATGGGTAACTGTTTATTTTTTTGGCTTTATAAGGATAGACATAAACATGTGTATGATGGGTCTGCAAGGATGTGTAACTCGTAGGTATTTCGTTTTTGTGAAAAAGGTTACTATGAGGTAAATAGTGCTCAGTTTGTAGCACTTGCTTTGTGAAAATGGGTCTGCTGGAATGATTGATTGAGCATGGAATGGGAAATTTGCTCATCATGAGCTCGAGTAATAGATTGCATGATGCTTCAAAAATATATTTTTTTTTTGTTTATGCATTTCGCTTGGCATGAGATAGTTTGCTTTGCTTGGCTTGGCTTGTAAAGTTCATAGGGCTTGCATGCTAGTGTGGAGATTGCTTGGCTTTAACACAGAGAACTAGCTTTATGCTTTGCCGTTTTTTCAGCGTATTCTTTGTTGGCAATTCTTGCAGGGATTCATCGCTTGTCAAGACCTGCCATGGCATTCACTAACCCGTTGTCAATTATTAGTGGCTACC